ACATGAATAGATCTCAGTTTTTAAGCACACTTTCATTGTTCAAATTTGCTGCAAGACTTTGACTTCAACGGCCATTGTTGAATGATACCATCTTCATCTTGTCGTACTTCGTAGCACCTCCGCTAATCCTGTGATTAATAGTTAATTATCTGGCCCACACCGATCAGGTAAACAGAACTGTGAAAATAACAATAAACCCGGGATTATCTGTTAATTAATCTTTTGTTTTATTAAATGAGAAATCGACGTTTTATGTGTACTATAGTTTGAAATGTGTACATGTATATGTAGCTTTGAAGAGTTTTATATGTAATTACTTTATGTTTTTATGTTTTCTAGTTTACAAATAGTCTCCACAGTCAATAGTACTTTTAATGATATTTTAACAGTTAGCAGTACTTTTAATCATATTTTAACAGTTAGTAGTACTTTTAATGGTATTTTAACAGAGTTAAGGGTAATTTAACAAATAGTTGTACTTTTAAGGATATTTTAACAGTAGTACCTTTAATGATAATTTAACAGTTAGTAGTACCTTTAATGATATTTTAGTAGTACTTTAAGGATAATTTAACTGTTAGTAGTACTTTAAAGGATATTTTAACATAAGGATATTTTAACAGTTAGTAGTACTTTAAGGATAAATAAACAGTTAGTAGTACTTTTAAGGATATTTTAACGGTCAGTAGTACTTTCAATGATAATCTAACAGTTAGTAGTACGTTTAATGATATTTAAACAGATAGTAGTACTTTAAGGATAATTTAACAGTTAGTAGTAACAGTAATGGGACAGATGAATGTTTTCTCTTCCCAGAAAATCTGTCACCTCTTCAAGTTTCAGAAGTTCACTTAGCTAAGCCTTTTGATGTAGGGTTGCGTTACTTAGTAGCAGGAACTGCGTTTCTTTTGTCGTTGTTTTCATGTGACGTAAGTAACGCTGATATACGTGAAATAATATATATATATATATATATCACCGTATCAAGTTCTCCATCTATCTCTTTGGCTATCTGTAGCTCGGTTAACCACACAATTATATAGTATGGCAATTGACAAAGCATTTGGACATGATATAGCCTTTCCTCGAGACGTGTGTGTGTTCATTGTCATCGTGATCTTGATTACATCTTGAGATTTCTGTTGAAAATAACCATTCTTAATTAGCAAGCGAATCGATCTCAGCGATCTAATTACCAATTCTACCGGTCGTCGCACACAAACTGTCTACAACATGCACATTCTCACATTCTTATGCCGACAGGTAAAGAATACTTCAAACTCGACAAAAAATATTGGAAATTTGATGCCCGTAGGCAAGATATTCTTAACATGCAATGAACTGTTTATGTAAGCAAGTCATGTACTATAAAAACACAGTTTCTTTAAAACCGATAAAACAGTTGCTTGATTGAAGGTTGAATTAGCAATTCAACGGTAAAAAGTAGACAATGGCAAACTTGGTAGACTGTTCAATGTCATCTATTAATAAAATCATCTATATTATCGTAGAATTTGTGTCTTTTTTAAACGTCGTGTGGTTATGTTATTAATAAAAATTCAATGCCATATTGTTTTATGGGGCTATATTGCGCCAAGCTTTCAAATAATCACATGGTAATTGAACCACACAGATAAAAAGAGCAAGGGCAGCAAAACGAAAGGGTTTACGATTTCATTAAAGCCATAATTGATATCATATTGAAATGTATAATATATTTTTAAATTTTTTATTAAGGTATCAATTAGAGGGAGATCATTTTGACTGCGTTGCTACGTTTCCATCTGTACGCGTCTTTGGAAACTCAGGCGCGCATGTGCGTACGATATTCGCCATGTTAAAATATATTAGCCTTTGGAAAGGACGATGATCATAAACTCATATACATTCGTCTTCCGTCACTTAGTTCTCGATATCTAACCTTTGAGTGGAAAATAAAGCATGTGACAATTTGTCGAACAGTTCCACCTCATTTGGAGAAGATTATCCAGTCCTAAATCTTTAACCTCGATTACTTTCTGGATTAACGCTTCTGCCAATATACAATGTCCAAGATTGCATGGGGGAATTTTAATGAACAATAACGACAATAATGTCGGAGTTTTTACCAAACGCGTTAGAAATTAAACGGAATATATTGTGAAATTTGGAGGGATATTCTAAATCAAACAAATTATATATTTATAATTGGAACCGGGCATAAAGATATTGCGTTTAACGAAAATTAACCAATGCGTCATATTTAATATGCCCCAGCGAACTACTCAAAACTAAACACTTTCTCTCAGACGTGAAAAACAAACGTATTCAAAACACTATACACCTAGTTAAAATACTCATTAGAATTACTAATCTATGATAAATTTGTTTATTTGTTATCCATCTTGACATTCTATTTGAAGCCTAATGATTCATTGATAATTCGATACAGAAAATGAGTCAACGTTGACGATTTAATCAGATAGAAAATAACGAGATTCGTTTTAAAACTAGTAAATTTTTACCTTTGCCGTTTACGAATAGAAAAAAATTATGTTTTATCTTAAAATTTCACGAGATGAATCATTTTAATGTGTTGATATGTTATTGCCGAATCTCTTTATCGACATGTTTGTGAAATGTATTTGAAAATAAAACACATTAAATGCGATAGAGCCGCCAAGTATCATCTATTGGCCATTGGAATGCTTAACACCGTGAATAAGTGTAACTATTATGTAATGCGCTAGACACTGATAAACCTGAATTTGACTTTATTATCATAAATATCTCGACTCCCCTGCGTATCATTAACGATTTTTGTCTTAATGAGACGTATTAATGTTTACAGTTCGTTATGAGAATACATAGATCACAAAATACAAACCAATTCCCTGTTAACTAATTTGTCTGACTCAACTTTGTCGGTTACTCAATAAATATGAGTCAAGATAGTAGATACATTAGAAGTGCATGATGATACACGTAAGTTGAAGGTTACACGCAATATGTGTATAAAAATAGTATGAATCACTTGTTCATTAAGAGCTAAGAATATTAGAACCAATTGATAAATTGTTAATTAACATGATATTTGTTCAGATAAAAGTACCGTTGACTCATCTAACTTCTTCTACGTTGTAAATATTAAATGAAATGAAATGGGGGTTTAACGTCCCACATTGTGCACGAGACTGGTAAATGAATATGGTCAAGTAGTATGCCATAGGTGAAATTTCCCCCCTACTCTTCTAATGTTATTTTACGTCCCATCCGAAAGACTAGACGCGCCTGCCTGTCAGATACCCACTACTCCAACATTGGCAAGGGGGAACAACCCTGAAATATCCCGAGGAACTTTCTCGGTCAAGACTGATGAGCCTCGTCGTTGTGCATATGCGTAAGCAGGGCTCACACTGGCTTCAATTTTTTTCCCGCCAAAATGGATGATAATTTTTATATAAAAAAAATGTTCATATTTTTTTCCGCCAACTGTAATATTTTATCTGCCAAAAATGTGTGATAAAAAAGACAACACCTAACAATTTTTTGTCCCAGCTAGGCTTATTATAAAACAATTACCGATGTATACAATACAATATACAACAACTTTAAAAACAGCGCAAGGTAGTAACATATCATCATTTTCTGTTTTTCAGTTACATTTGGCCTATATGCACCGACTACACGAAGAATCATCCCATGGAACTAAAACTATAAGAAAATAAATGTTAAAACATTAATGGGATGAACAGAATTTGTTTCGGCTAGAGAGCATATTACTATTAAACTGTTAATAGTACAACTGACTCATCAGATTTTTTACAACGTAGTATTAGTATACACATGGATAACGCAATAAAATATATATAAAAATATCATTAATCAAGTTTCGTTTTTTTTCCACGTGTTTTCATTAACAAAACCCAAACTGACGGGCGTACGCCAGTAGAGTGTGCTATGGGGGAATTTTTACCCGAACAGCGGCGCTATGGCTACTCTTATTACGAATTCCAACTGTCAAGAGTGGTTTAACATGCACACCAACGTGTACACGGAACCTCAGTTTTTCGTCCCATCCGAACGACTAGATACTGATCGTTTCATCCCCCCCGCCCTGCAACCCATTAAAAAAACAGTATTGTACTCTAACACCCATAGTATTCATCGTCAATAACACGACGTACGGTTTAGGTGTCGAGGCATACTCCTTTTAAAATACCCATACCCGTCTTTATTAGCCCTGTTGGTGCAGAGACGTAGGACGCTAAACCCCATTTCATTCATTTTACTTGGGAAATTCATATGGCTAACAACGAAGACAATAATGTATAATACACCCATTGGATCCCTAATAGAGTAACGGTATCAAAGTTGCTATTTCAATATTGTATAATTATACCAAAGAACGCAATGTCATATTGTTATGAATAGACAGTTTTAACACCCGCTAACACAATGCTTCCAAATAAGACCCAGGGGAGGTAACTATATTTAGTGTATGGATGCAGACCACCAAATGCTCTAGCATTTCACGACACTAACGTTTCTCAAAATGTTGGATGGGTTGCACGTTTTTGACAACGGACGGAGCAATATCTAACAATTTTATGCTCAAAAGTATGCATAGATTAGATAATTGATCGATAGAAACTGATAAAAACCCAGGCCTAATGCTTCAGGCTTACACCCACCACAACTATTCTACACCCAGAGTCAGTAAAATTTCGTATGTGATAGACGAGGAAAGGAAGAAGGGTGAATTAAGAAGTGGATGGACTTATGTATGTAAAAGTAATGGCAAGACTTTAAATTGTGATCAAAACAACTTTATATTTGATAATAAATGAAAATAAATTCTAAATCCTGGTTATGGCTTCATTTACCATGATGGGGTAAATATGGCACACATACACCCTGCTTTAGTTTGTAAACATATATTTTGTAAAAATAATTTAATGAAAAACTAACAAAAGTGGATTTCAAAATACTGATTACTTATGAGTCTTTAATTACCCAACTCATTAATGTACATCATTCATACCTACATACAATACATAATACACCCATATAAACATACCATAGTTAAAACAACTTTTTTTGTTTTACTGTACATTGATATTATAATTAAACATCAAAATAATCTGGTGCTGGACAATCTAATTCTTCTGATATATGGCTCAATCTTCTAGTCTCATCATATATTCGTTCTCTACCTAGCTGATTGCGGTATCTCTTTTCAAACGCTAACTGCAGAGTTCGACCTAGAAAATAAAATACAGCAAATTAAGAATCCCTATTCGATAATGCAGATTTGTCGTGTCACAAATGTGCGTTATAAAAAAGAGATCAGACTAGTATCATAGACCAAAAGAGAGAGAGAGAGAGAGAGAGAGAGAGTTAGAGAGGGTAATGAGGTTTAAATCCAGTCGACACAAACTAAGAAACAGCAGGACCCGGAGAAAACCCACGAGGATGGACAGACAACCCCATTCTTTGTCACGTGCAAGTAGGGAATTGAAACCACACCACTTGACTCAATGACACGAGACATTACTATATAACGCGCACGCCTAAACCATTCGATCCCACCCCTTAGACCGAACGACAATTGAAGCATAATTAATAGAGCACGCCTAAGCCATTCGCCCCCACCCCTATTTGAAGCATAATTAATAGAGATATTTAAATTCCCTAAGAGACGTATCACAATGTACACGTAAAATAGTTTTATAATCTTAATGTGTAACCTACCTGTGGGATTACCTCTACTGTTGAAGATTCTAGCTCGTCTTCTTATCGTCCTACGAGGAAAATCATAAACGAAATTATCATCCGTATGGTAGGATGGAGGCACTGTTACAGATTCTTCACCGCTATGTGTACTTTGCTGATCTGCTATTTCATCCTCATTTTCGTAATCCGGAAGTGGTTCGTCATAATCTGGTTCCGGTTCGTGTTCAATATCTCTCATCTTCTGTAGTTCTATAACTCGCATAATGATATCTCGGATTTTGTCTTTCTCTGTGAACTTTTGTCCGAATCCCACATCCGTTATGGATAACACATGAAGCATTGTCCCCCATCTATGAGCAAACATGCCAACAAATTGGAAGAATAGAATACAAGCGAAGAAAACCAGAAAAAGCAATCCAAGCGGCTGGAATGTCAGTGGTTTTGCATCAGGACTTAGCTTTGGGATCTGGAAGAAAAGATAAGATTGCAGCTCTCCCTGCAGCACCTCAAGCTGCATAGACAACGCCACCCATAAAGAACTGACCATAAAGAATCCGAAGACAACATTATTCCTCAACATCTTCAGGTCGGCTGCAATCTTTTCCTGATATTCTTTGTCTTCGGTGATTGGATAAAGATATTTCTTGATTAACTGCTTCCAGAAAATTCTTTCTCTATCTTCTAAATATACTATTGGTCGGTTACCAAAGACTTTTTCAGAAAGCCACCCTGGGCTATTTGGGTCCTCAATATCAGAACCGGTAACAGTTTTGGGCACCTTTTCAATATCTGCTGTACTGGTTTTAGAAACTTCCGCGGGTGTCGTATTATCTATCTTATTTCCAATCATCGCCCCGATAGATAGCGGTTTAGCCGTGTTAGAATCACCTTTGTTAACTTTTGCTGCAGTAAAACCTCTATCACAACGAATCTCTGTTATCAGTTGTTCCAAAAGAATATCCGTATTTGATTTCTTTTTTTCGGCCTGGGCTTTATCATATGTTAATCCTCGAAGTTGTTGAAATATATCACCAATTTCTTTAAGAATAATTTCAAATCCCAACCAACCCAGAAAGTTTTTCTTTCTGTTAGACACTCGTTTCACCTCCGCTTCTATTTTCTCGGATTCAATTTCTTCTTTTGACTTTCTTTTGGTGACTTCTCGAGTACCCCAAGAGACGATATTTAGGTTACACAAAAAGTAGGTAGTCAGTACCAAATATCCAGCCGGTATGCATATAAAGTAGAGGACCCCTGGAATGACGCAAGTGAACTCCTCCGGATGCATTAAAGCTGCAGTGAAAAATACCACAGCTAACATTATCATAAATATCACGTTCGGACTGGTAATGGAACCCTCGACTGCTGTCCCAACCGTTCCTACCAACACAACGGTCATTGTTACCGCATATATCGCACTCATGATTGCCCCCACCGTCAGTTGCGTTTCTGTTTTACTGTACATACAAAGGACTATATAAAATATAACAGGTACAATTGCCAACGCATACGACTCCAGAACGGTTGTTTTAAAGACCACCGTATAGGCTCCCGCCATCATCAATAAAACTGTTGCTGGACCAAGAACTGTTGAAGCTAGTAGAGTTATTTGGTAGAACGTGTACAAGGTACTGATGTTGTCATTGATTCTAACAGTATTCTTCCAGTCTCCCAATAAGTCAATGATGTTGGCTAATGTAGAGGGACCCCATCTTCGTCTCTGGTTAAAGAACTCGGAGAATGTCTCTGGAGCATGAGTCAGTGCATCTGCAGCAGCACAATAATCGATTCGATGCCCTTGTTGTAACAGCAGAGTGCTCAACCACCGATCTTCACCTTTTAGAAATATAATAAACGTATGTTTTTCATTTAGGCCAGAAAATAGGGAAATAAGACAAAACCCTTAGACATAGCATTAGTTACAACCATAAATTGATTCTTAAAATTCAAAATATGAAACAAGTAAGATAAGTACAATTAAACCACTTCTAATTGATCTGGGAAGCTTACGAGGCTAACTATTCTCATTAAACCTTGGTCAAATTAAACATATTCTTATTATACATTGTACCTTGGTCACACATAACATATTCTCATTATATATTTTACCTTGGTCATACTTTACATATTCTCATTATATATTTTACCTTGGTCATACTGAACATATTCTCATTATATATTTTACCTTGGTCATACTGGACATATTCTCCTGCTTGATTAGCTCTAGTTGTATACAGTCTAGCTACATTATCATCCATTAACGCTGATCCACGAAACAAACTAAAACAACCTGGTGCACATAATACACAACCAAAAACATGTTCTGTTGCTTTCTGTAACCAATGACCAATAGCATATTCAAATTGTTGGTACCACACCATCGGACCTAAATCGTAGAAAAATAAAGTTTCCGGATAAAACGATAGATACACGCTATGATTACCGAATGGTTGTCAAATGAAAAGCGACAACTAAGGACAAATCGTTCATTAAAGCATATAATACTCCAAAGCAATATAATCGTTTTTCAACCTATTCTGTTACAACTGAAAAATTGTTATGATATAAGTTTTATATGACACAATACACGATTTATCCTGCCAAAAGACGTCAGACTAACCCCTTCTCTGTTTTATCATAAAACTAAATGTGTTTTATCATTTTGTCAGAATAGCGCCCTGACGTAGGAACAAGCCTGACGTCATTTAGAGCCGGGTATCCAGTCTGAAACTTGCAAGTTTTACCTGAACCAATGGGATGTATTCTACCACATGCAGCACCACATTTCTTATTTTTCTTCATTCTATCAACCAATAATCTAACAGCATCCGGTTTAAAATCAACATCACCATCCAGGGTTAATATAAATGTATTTTCTGCCTATAAAAATAAATGAAATTGGGTTTAACGTCCTACTGTTCTGTACCAACAAGGCTAACGGAGACATGCAATACGCAATGTAGTGTGTAAGAGAAAGTTTATGTGGATTTATTCTTAATTCAAGCTTTCTAGGGTTCTTTTATGTGTACAGGGGTCGTACCATCCGAACTGCCAGGCACACTTCTTGGACAACACAGGGAACGACCTGAGATTATTTCAAGAGGGTCAAGCGTCTAAACTTTTTTTTCAATTTTATTATTCGGCCCTATTAGTAAGTGCAGGGGGGGCTGCACCACACATAATTTACACAAAAAAAATACACGAATAAGACACAACACGCAGAAATCACAAACAAACGAACAATTCAAATTAAGTGAATGGATCCGGGGGCTTGCCGTAAGCGTCCACTGCGCTGTACAATCCCGGGCCTGTAGTGATACAGACTTCACTCAAATTTACTAACCAACTTTTGTTGTACAGTTATAGAATTAAAATTTTACCTGTGTTTGAACCTCCTCTGGTACGAAATTGAATAAAATGCTTCGTGTGAAATGAGCTGAACGACGTCGTTTACGAAGCTGTGAGTCGGTTATTCGAACCTTGGTAGAATCGGTTGATTCTATAGTTTCTTTCATAGAAGTGTCTGGTTGTGCGAGAAGTTGATAACCCAACAAATAATACATGTACATCACCTGTCAATATAGTAATGGAATGAAATGAAATAAGGTTTAGCGTATTACATTTTTTCGTCGCTGAACGCTGTTGCTCTTTTTCGATTTTCAACTATCAAGGGATCTTTAATGTGCCACCGATAATATACAACGGGCCGAGGTTTTCCACCCAAACCTGCAAACCGGAAAAGCTCGATGACTATCGACAAACAACGGGATCTCGGTTATTAGCTATAACAATTATTATGGTTATCATTGAATTTTTAAAGCGCTACATTATAACAATAGTAATTTCTAAGCGTTGTAAAGTCATATTTACACAATGGTACACACATGATTCTATTTATATGATTATCTAAACAGATGATTCTTTGTGATAGTATACAGACTCTGATGTCTGTGTAATTCATTCCAAAATTGGCATCCCTTATGGAAAATGAAACCCCAAACATAATGAGATGTGATTATATTTTGTGATGCCCGTGACAAGTCTAGCGGCGTTGTTTTGAGCGATTTGAAATCTGTCAAGGGCTGCTTCTGGTGCTCCAGATAAAAGTAAATCAGCATAGTCTGAGCCAAGTTGATAACACTTTTGCGAGCCCTCGGTTTCAGGTGGTGGGAAGTTGTGTAGAGCACAGTTTATGCTTAAATTCAAATGTTCCTAATGCCACGTCCCATTAATTTAATACTCCAACTTTTAAGCGTGCTTTTATGTGCACACCAATGTGTACACGGGACCATCCTGCACCACTGACAAAGGGGAAACAACGCCTGAAATTCTCGAAGACCTTTCGCGGTGGCCCGTTTTATATTAGCACAAATTATAAAACGATTAATGTTCGTTAAAATTGTGGTTCTTACCTGAGACCATCTCTTCTTATGACGTATTTTATGTTTGTCTTTCAGGTGTACTACAAGGTTGGTACCACCAGGTAAATCCCAGGTTAATCTACCACCATATGGTGTTGGTGTTCTAGCTGGTGGACCAAGGGATATCTGACGCTCATGAACAGAACTGTGACAAGACAAGAAAACATATATACAAGTTTTTGCGTTAATGTATAATTACCTTAAAATATCAAATTATAATGTAAAATAAAATGCTTTAAAATTTCATTAACAAAAGTGAGTTATATTTCTGCTTACCTAAGAGCATCATCTAGGCAATCAACAAGATCTTTGACAAAATAATTTGGTAACCATGTATTACTGGCACTTAGTTCCATGGCGTCATCGAAGAATATATGAGCTGTAATAATATCAATCATATAGTGATTATCGTGGGTTTTATGGGGATCCTCGGGTGTCCCCCACTGCTAAAGAGCCTTACGCGCAAGATAATTTTTGAAATAAAATTGTACAATGTGTGAGTCACCAAAGGACCTAGGTTGTGTGCAGTGGATGTTAAATCCCATGCTCGCTCTCCCCCTCTCTCTGTAATAATTATATAAACCAGGAACCGAACATGGTGTCATGGCCGCCGTCAATTGATGCTCTGTTCTCCAAAAAACAAGAATGCCAAATGTCAATTCGATCGTACATGAATTGGCGGACATGTGGGCCGTTTTTGAAGAGCATCGCCCTCAAGTCGAAGAAGATGATAAACAAGATGAGCAAGTCCAGTAATAGTATTTTTAAGATTAAATACAATTCGTAAACAACAATAATCTAGAATGTGGTAAATACTTACCTTCAAATTCATAATAATCTGGATCATGGATCTGGTAATATTTCTGTGCTAAATACCGGGCACTGTGATCTATATCCATTCTACAAAAATAACAGTATTGGAATTCCAAAATTTAATACACATATTGATAATGGGTATAATGCATTGTTTCTGAAATTTTGTGCAGCGGTTTAGAAAAAGACCCTATTCCTAGTAGTGTTTCGTTTGTTAAATCTGTGTTTATGCTGTCTACTGTCCAATCCAATGGTTATTTCAGGTGGGTTTTCCCAATTTACGTTTAACGTCCACTGACACAACTACTTAGAATTTTATTTCAATAATTTGTGCTTGCGTGTAGAGGTCTTCAGTAGTGGAAGGAAAACCCAAGATGTTTGGCAGTCAATGCTACAATTTGTGACGCACAGACATGGGATCGAAATCACGCCACTTGACTCAATGACAGACCATATAATCTAAAGCGCACGTGTTAGACACCTCGGCAACCCATCTACCGCCTATTCATGTTTTATTAAAGGCGATGATAGATTTAACCACACTCGTACTTTATTGTTAATGGAATGGTACTTTAACACGAAAAATGTCATGCAGCGAATCAAACGAAAATGAAAGCGTTACCTGAATATCGACTTCAACAATTGGGTCATTTCATTTCGGGTCTCGTGCCACATAGTAGCACATGCGTAGATCTTTGGAATAGATTCATCTTTCTGTGACATATCATAGAACTCACAACCATCATCACCATAGTGATACAGGAACGTATTCTTCTCCCAACGACGACGTCTTAATAATAGAGACTGGTCGGTTAAAACACATCTCATCGGAGACACAAATAATCTAAAAACATAAATAGTAGAGTAAGACGAAGCAAAACTAAATCAGCATTGTCTGTTACATGCATAGCAAAGCTTAGCAAAAGCATCAAATTTGTAAAAGCGAAAATAGACACGCTTATCTATAACCTCTGTGATTTCGGTGTGATTTAGTCGATCTTGTGTATTATTGCTATTAGTGATGGGGCAAGTTCTGCATTAAGTAATATGTTGGTATTGTACGAGGACACCAGTCCAAGTGTTGTTTCAATATATTACGCACTATTTTGCTCGAGACTATGTAACAACTTAAAATACTGACACTATTCCGCACGCGCTTTTCAATGAAATCGCCACGAGAGTCAAATATTTCATCTACTATAAAAGTAATGTACAATTGGTAAGTTGCTCGTACCATTATTTGAAATAAAAGGATGACGTCACTTTTGTATTTTAAATCTGATTTAATTTCGAAAGATTATGCAGAAGTCGGCCTCCTGACGAATTTCAGTTTATTTTGTCATATCCATGTGCAGCGAACGATTTTTGGTTAAATGTCGAATGGATGACCTACTATTTCATGTTTTAATAGGGTTTTATTGTTATCAATTGCATGGCATAAATCTCACCTCTCTACTTTCGACATACGATCGGAATGCTGGAACCATATATGGGAAGTGATTATCATCTGCGATAACCAGGCTAAAGCAAGCAGAACATAGTGATAGGTAACGAAATCCCCGTCGATGTCAGGGCAAACCCAGAAATAAAAATTGGCAGACGAGGGCAGGAAATTATAACGACATTGCATCATGACCACAGTTGCGGTTACTGGCGTTGCAAGTGCTAAAGGCAATGAGAAACCTAAGAACTGCATACAAAGTTTACAAGCAAGGCCCGAAAAATAGGAACAAACCCATGAAGATAATAAATGGATATAAAGTGGTCCGAATTGTTCTACATGTGACATTATGGTCTCTGCATCCGTAGAGTTGATGGTTACTTCTTCGGTGTTCGACGGTGACGTAAAGCTGAAACTAAACCTAAAATCATCTACCAGTAGCATTGCAAACAGAAGAGAACAGCCAATTTTCCAGATGCCTACAAAGATGTAGAGTCTTTGACGGACGAGATGCAATGTCTTCATCCATCTGGTAAAAGAGAGTTTAATTCCAAAACACGTAATGTTTCCATCCATAAAGTTCTCCCAATAGCCAATCGAGATCAAAATTAATGAAACTGGCAGCTCCCAAGATACTTCACCAAACAGGGTTGCTCCTTTGTTACTGACAGTGTTAGATTTCAAGTCACCAAATGCCTGATCCTTCATTCGGTCTCTTTCAGATTCTGGATACATGACACCAAATGCTACAGAAGCGAATATGCATCCGAATTGCAGCAGTGATGCCAGACAGTGTAATCCCATGGTAAACATTTTCTTCTTACATGAATACGTGCGGTTCTTAAAAGACCAAAACATCTGTAAAATGGCGGGAATAGACGAAACAGATGATAAGATAATGAGTGCACCAAACATATCAACCCTTGGAAGAACTTTAAACATAAGAAGACACAATCCAAAACTGTGAAGTAGCTCTAGTATCAATGTCTGAAATATAAAACAGAAATGAAATGTACCAAACACATGTCATAAACAAGACAGTGTGGATATTTTGACAATGGAAAGGACATAACCAGAGTTTTTACCACATTATCACTGTTTTTATATTTAAACACATCGGTCAATTTTATTTGAGTGCGTGAGATGTGATTCTATACAAAGTGTGAATCTAATAATTAGTTAAATATATACCATCTTCACTTTTATTTCGAATTCCAAATACCAAGGGTTTTTTTTTAATGTGCACGCAAAACAGAATGCAAAACACATTGGGGGATAATGCGATTGATGTGTTTATCGGGATTGTAAAGCAAAATGAAATAGAAAACAAGATTTTCGATTCATACTAACTTGGCGGGGGGGGGGGGGGGGTCAAATATTTTGTAGCGCCCCTTCTGTATGCCCTTATTGTTACAGAGAAATTCTTCAAATGTACTGAAGACGGAGTAATATAGAGATTTTCCAAACGTTTATACTGAAGTTAAAAGTTTGTGTTAGCGTTTTAGAAAACCACAGACAATGTCTCAAAAATGACTTAAAAAGTACCCTTTTGGGGTCTAAAGCATAGGGAATGTTTCTCAAACAATTCGTTCAGAACTTACCACAATTGCCATCTTGAAGGAAGGCCAGTCAGTGCTTCCAAATAAGGATTTAGCTAAGTACGATAGCAACCAACATAGATAAGGAAAACAAATACTAATAAGTAACATGGAATGGGTGGGATTGGCAGCAGTCTTCTTCAAATCCTGAAAATGGAGATTCGTTTGATTGTTATTTTGTCTTGTTAAACAAACACATACATGCAGTCTGATACCCATTCCCCCTTGCGATGTATATGATACGCAAATTATGTTTTTTTTTCAGACATCTTACTTTAAATTTCAGACATATTTTAGAAACAATATTAGATTTAACCCATTAAGATACGTGGTTTAAGCAAGAAACTCAAAGACCAAAATATTTCTACAAAATGGTCACGTCAATGATCGCCAAAAGGGGTTATCTCAAAGAATTTAAATATATTGCTAACGCGTTTTGAATGACCTGCTAAACGCGACGTGGTTATCCATATATTGCACCAGATGTCAACGAGAAGGTTTCTAGGCGACTTCATATAGAATTACCCAGTTTCATCACCATGTTGTATTTGAATTAATATAATATGGGTTTACCTGAACAATGCCCGACGTCATCATTATTAAAGACATTTTGCTGACAACAGCAGAACTTAGTACAAACAGAAAGATCATGATGTAGCACATAATCTTGGAACATTTCATGAAAGTTCTAAACGTGTCCCGATGATCTATGCGGTCTCTTGGTATCATTTGGAACCGATCCCAGTTCGACCTGCAAAACAGACAAAAATATAAAATATAGGTTTAAAAGTACAAGATCTTTCAGTTTATTTCTGCAAGATTTTTTGGAGATAAACATAATTGAAACTTACTGATTGTAATCAGAACCAAGATCTTCTACATCGGTATCAGGTTTATCTCCCTGTAAAAAAAATGGATAAGATTTAAGGATCCGGATATAATGAAATGCGGGTAAAGCGTTTTACTCTTATGTAGAAATTAGACTAACGAAGAAGAACACACGGACAGCGTCTTTTCAACTTACTCTTCAATGAATTCCAAATGTTAAGGCTTAGATTACATGTACGCCAACAAGTACAGTGTGGGACATGTTTTTGTCCTATTCCTGGCCAGTTCCGGTACTTGACCCAGGACCTCTTAGTTAATGATCCGGCGCCATACTCACAGCAACAATGTTGCTGGAGGAACGTAATTTTTAAAACACTAAACAAACATTAATCAGTTGCTGTTACGATATTGAGGTACAATGTACATAAATATCAAGGCTGACTTCAATGTACATGTATTATAACACTATTATTACTAATACTAAGATCGTCCAGTACACCTGTGCCCTGTTTCTCGAAATCTTAACTAAAGGTAAAATCCGAATTTTAGTAGATACTTCAATTTTGATTGGATAAGCACTAAAATCCATCTAATATTATCCAATCAAATTACTAAAATTTGAATTTTATCTTAGTTAAGATTTCGTGAAACAGGCCCCTGGTTTCTTAAAACTGAATCAATGACTTACTAAACTGGTTGAATCATTGGAGAAAGATATGTTAAGATCTTCCAGTACTGCTGGTTTACCACATATAGGTGACGTGCTGTTACTATCATTCAATACTTTCTCATTCAATTGTATCCAGTCCTTTACTTTAACAACTGATTTAGATTCTTTATTAATGACAATATCTTGAAGGGTTTTGGGCGCAGTTGTAGAGCTGTCAGCTATGGGACGTTTATCATCAGTCAATTTTCTCAGTCTTTTTCTGTCTGCTTCCTTCGCTTCTCTCTTCATCCTCTCCATGGTTTGGTTCAATAAGGGACCATGCCAGTGTCTTAGAAATACCTATAGGTAGTTAAATAAAATAAGTCGTATTGCTGAATATAATTTGTACAACAAAATAATGCACGTTTACTAAATGCCACGTTAAAATTAGTATACAAACAATTCTTGAAATATACAATGTACATTTATTTTAAATACATCGTTGTACAGAAATCGGTGTCAAAATAGCCACTAAATGTACATCATTGCCATGGATTTATTTTCATATATACTATATCCATACTATCACGACCTTAAAACATGCGTCATTGTAAGCTTCATGAATTAAAGTGTCATATTTCTACATCTAGAAAACTATAAAGGGTATATATTGTCCCTTTAAACAAATCGAACACGTTTGAAATAAACAGGTTAATGGGAAGAAAGGTCGGAGTCTTTGACTGTTACTAAGAAGCACTTTATAACCCCACCCCTTTTAAATAACCAAAATCGAGATTACATATCTATTTTGTAGCCCCCAACCCCCACCTTTCGTGAACGTTACCTTTGTTTTTCCGAAGACATAATCTCTAATATCAGCAGTTGTCATAATTTTCTCCACGGCTACTTTTACATCAGGAAGTGGGACATTCTTCGGGAAACCGATATCTCTGTAGCTAAAATTCGAAAAGTTATAATTATATTAGCCTGTTCTATGCCCACAAAAGTCGTTTGTAGTTTTACTATTAATGGTCATAATATCTCATCCCTAGTTTGGCCTTCCCTAGAACAACTGTTTATGATTGGACAGTTACCTTATATTTAGTGACGAAATTCTTGACAACAGACTGGTATACCATGTGTTTCTTGTTTATTGCTTGCAATGTCTGCGTAGTTTGTGTATCTTGTCCGCACGTTTGTCATATGGGTTTTGTTTGTGTGTGGTACAGCCATCCTGCACTTATCATCGAACAGGAGCGGGAACAGCCGTTTAAATTGTTTAAAACCGATAAAGCTAATGATTGTTGGCTGAAATTTGGTCTGGTGATAAATCTTGGTGTTAAATCTCCTAAAAATACCCCCTACCCCCGCCAGCAGGAGGGATAGAGCAGTGCGGTTCTCAGGTATCGCTACAAATTTCCCAGAGAATGAGTAGATCATTTTAGTCAAACCGGCTGCTGAAAAACAGATTGGCTGTACGTACCTGTTGACGAAATCTTGTATCGGTAGTCGAATAGCAAAACCATCTCGTCTAATCTTGGCGATTTCTAAGAGCCCATTGCATCGTAGTTGTTTTAAAACTAAATCAGTATCAAAACTATTGGGTTTGTTCTGGCTGCTAGGTCGAACACAGCTACATTTTATACAAAAGAAAACATAATGACATTATACATTAGGTAATAAATTGAAAAACTCCATAAATAGGAAGAGTGGGGTAGGGTTGGATATTTATCCTATGACGACGGTTATACTATACTTTGGTTATTATAACAAAATTTAGTCAGCGCAGAAGACAAAACACAATATTCAGTTATTCATTGGACGATTCTGGTAAAATCTTCCAACAAAATCATGAAACTTCGCATTGTCAGCCAACAGGTTTACGCAACTTTTTCCAAGTTAGAAAAAAGAAAAACGTCTGACATTCTGATACAAACGGATAATCTGTCCGACAAAACGTGTCACTAAATATCATTTCGGACTATAAAAGAGCACAAAATAAAAAGTGACGTGAAGTGTATACATGCACAGCTTCTCTCGGTAACCTTATAGCTGTTAGATCCCAGCAAACATGAGATTTCAGATGTTCGCAGGGGAATTGTCCTTTGTCAATTTATTTTGGGTGGCCTATAGAGTAGGTGTCTCTAAAAATAATTGTCTTAGCATTAATTGAGAAACTGTTTGCGAATGTTGTAAATATCAAATGACTTAGGCCTAAACGTTTAATTGTTAAACAAAATAAAGCATCTTACCGAACGAACCAAGGGTCAACA